GAGTTAACCAGCAAGAATTAACCAGCATGAATTAACCAGCAAGAATTAACCAGCGAGAGTTAACCAGCAAGAATTAACCAGCATGAATTAACCAGCAAGAATTAACCAGCGAGAGTTAACCAGCAAGAATTAACCAGCATGAATTAACCAGCAAGAATTAACCAGCGAGAGTTAACCAGCGAGAGTTAACCAGCAAGAATTAACCAGCAAGAATTAACCAGCGAGAGTTAACCAGCGAGAGTTAACCAGCAAGAATTAACCAGCAAGAATTAACCAGCGAGAATTAACCAGCAAGAATTAACCAGCGAGAGTTAACCAGCAAGAATTAACCAGCAAGAATTAACCAGCGAGAATTAACCAGCGAGAATTAACCAGCGAGAGTTAACCAGCCGATGACGACGAACAACGAGTCGTGGCTCGCAGCCCGTGCGGCTAACCTGATACATTTTGATTTTATCGCATAAACAAGCTCGCGCCAAACTTTTCTGCTTTCCAACGTGCAACGAATCACACGACGTACGGGTATATATAGTGGCTCTGTACGGACCGAGGAAGCGCTGAGCAGAGGACCCGCCTTCCCCCGTAGAGCCGCTCCCAGGTGCCTGCCTGCGTCTCACACGTGCTCGTGCGGGCGACAGACGTGAGCTGACGTACTTGGTCAGGTGGTGGAATTTGCCTCGACCCAGGGTTAACGGAGCACGCGCCAAACATATCTAAGACGCCACGAAGGTCGTCGACCCGCGCACTCTGTCCGATAAGGCATGTTAACCTAAATGCGAATAGCTTCCCGGTTTCTCTCCGACCGATACGCGAGATTCGCGCGTGTGCGCGCACCGAGGGCCCAACTCAAGGTGACCGGACCGAAGGAGCGCCACACTGCGCATGCGCACATAGAGAAATACACGCGCATAGCCTATAGGTATCATGATCAATAGAAATCGTAGTCCGTATATATGTATCAAACAAACAGCCAGCGTGCTATCGAGGTAACGGTTTCTACGATATCACAATGGCAATATATATATATAGCCTATATCCACGTGTATCGATTGTGTTGGCGTGTATCACGCATTTCGCGGCATCTCATCGGCATCTGTCACCTAGGGAGTAAACATCACGCGCTTGTGCATTAACTATGGGTTCACATTAATGCAGCAGCAGCGTGCGCCCGCGATGAGCGGTAAAGTTGGCAACGGTACCAG